ATATATTGCTCACGTCGGAAAGCATCAAGTTCACGTCTCATTTCTTTCAACCTTAATTCCCGAGTTTTTTTTGTGTCCTTCATTTTTTCTATGTTGATCTTATAATCGGCAATACTGTAATCAAGTTCATCAAATTCGACTTCATATTTTTGGGACATAATACCCAGATATTTCTTGCATTCCTATATATGTGAAAAGAGCAATTTTAGATATATGAGTGAGAGAACTTAAATTTTGTATATTTTTTTTTAGAAAAGTTTTAGATAAGAAAAGTTTAGGCTTGTTAAATCACATTGTACGGAAATAATAATGAATTGTTATAAGTTTTTTTTTTGTTTTAACCTTTTAAGAAATCTGAAAAAGGATTTTTTCTCAAAATATGTAACAAAACATATTAGTTGCTAAGAAAAATTAATAGTAATAGACCCACTTCAGACTGCAAATAATATGCATCCATTATGTTCGCATGACACATTGTTCTATCCATCCGATCCTGTTTATATTTTTCAATTGCTGTTTTAATGTCCCTTTCAGTTTTATAGAATTCGTATTCAGCTAGTTCAGCTTGTGCATATACGTCCAGTATTTCCACTCTTAATTCGATAGGATTCACAGCTAATAACGATAATTAGTTATATAATTAATATTATTAAAAACAATTAAATTTACCCTCAAAATTGAATAGTTTAAGATAAAGTCTTTTCTTTAACGCGTCAGTTTCCCTATTTTCTTGAAAAATGGACCGAGCTAGGTAATTATCATCCAACTGTTTGGCTTCAGAAGAATTCTTGACAACTTCTTCGTTCAGAGTTTCTGTTATACTAAGAAGACTGTAAGCCGCTCTAAAAGTACAGGTTTTTAATATTTAACTAAATCATAAGTAATAAATCCTTTACTTTATAAATTCAAGTCCCTCCTCATAGTTTTCCGATTCACCTAAATTTGACAAAAACAAAAAATAACGCACTGCCTCTTCCATATCAAATCTGAATTTAACTACATTTAAGAAAGCTGGTGCCACATTCATTTCCAACAGTTCTAACCATACAGCATTATCATTTCGGCGTATAGAATACTCTTCAGGGCCCCAGCTAAACAAAAAATTTGGATTTTCGGCTTCGGCAACTAAAGGATTATGAATCATTATCTTGTAAGCGAACTTTATTTTACTAAGAAATTCGTTTCGAACTATTATGAATCCCATTTCCGCTAAATATTTAAAAGGACGAATTAAGTCAATGTACAAATCTTCATCCGACAGAGATACAAGCTCCACTTCGAGATCTGCTCGAGCTTCTAATATCGGCTTTTGTTTATTTGGATCTATTACTGGAATAATCGATTCACAAACACAACTGCATGGTGGAATCTCCGGTATAACAGGTGTGCATAGTAAAGGTGTCTTGTTAGTTGAAATCATGACTTTCTTTTCCTTTTTTGGGGTTTTTGGAACAAGTTTAATAGTTTCAGGAATTGGGTCAGGAGCAGTTTCATGGTCTTCAGAGCGATCAAGTATTACAATTTTCTGAACCTTCTCGTACTTATCATTTGCTTCTGATACGTCGCTTTTCTCAGAAGTGCCAGTTTCTTGAGATTTATCTAAAATATCGCTCACAACTATTTCAGCCATTTTATTTTAAAGCAGATTAACTTAGTTAAAAAAATATATTTTACATATG